TGAATTGCATTTGGAAGTACGGCCACGTATCTCCACCAGCTGAAAATTTTCATCCACAATTGATAATCAAAAGCTGCAAATAAGCACGATGTGTTCTTCATCGTCAGCTTCTTCTCCACATCTCCCACAACTGTCAACACCTCCCTCCAGTTGGAAGCCTTTCGTTTTGAGGTTGAGTTTGGTTGGCAATCTATCCAAGAAAAGTCTCAAGCAAAAAAACTAACCCTTGTAAAATATTATTCCTCATAGCTTTACAAAAATCTTTCTCCAAGACTCTGTGCTGAGTTAAATAATCATAAGTTTTATTAAAGTGAAAAAAAAAATTGTTAAATGATATGTAAGGTTATATTAAAATATTATACTTTTTCTGTTTTAAAATAATTATTATTTTTTTATTTTAAATTTGTCACAAATTAATTATATTTTTTAAGATAAATAAATATTTTTTTATACTTTAACCTTATTATTGTCTATTCACTTTAATTAATCATCCAATCACAAATACTTTTTTTGTTTTTTATTTCTTTTTTAAGGAGTATTATAGATAAATATTAATATTGTTTCTAAATTTTTAATTTGAAAAAAAAAGGTTTAAAATTCCGGTTTTTTTTAGGTTAAAAGGAGGTTAAAAAAGAATTATCCATTAATTATTTTTCTTACATAATTACAGTAGTTAATTTTATTTAAGGAGTCATTAACAATACTGAATGAACGACTCATTTTATACCAAATCACTTTGTGCATAATTATCTTGTGCAGGAAACGTGAGTGTAGCATCTCCTTGTTGCCTAACACTTTTTTTTTTTTTTTTTTCATGGCGATACCCATTATCTTCTTATCTTCCAAAGAGATAAAGATAAGGTTATTCTCCTTCACGGTTCTTCTCCCCCGTTAAATGGACTAGTAGACCGACACAGAAAGCTTGGTGGAATTAAAGAAATTTTAACACCAATGGCAGTAATTAATAGTAACAGTACCGTTAGAAACAGAAAAGAAGAAGAAGAATCTAAAGAAAGGTTTATTGCTTTTTTTTTAATAATACTATATGTACAATGACTTATATAGAAGAGTTTACAAAAACAATATTTTAAGGTATAAAGTATACAAAGAGAATATTGTAAAGTATAAAATATTCATAATAAATGTTTCATATCTTAACATTCTCCCTCAAACTCAAGGTGATTGTGTTGAAACCAACTTGAGTTTAGAAAGAAGAGACGATCGAAAGCGTCTAAAAAAATTAGCCTTGGTGAAAAGGTCCCTTGGTGAAAGTCTATTGGTTGATCAACGGAGCCAATGAGAACCAAATGAACAATTCCTTGTGCAACATGATGGCGAACTAAGTGACAATCAACCCCAATGTGTTTAGTGTGTTCATGGAAGACATCATTATGGGCAATTTGTATGGCACTCTGATTGTCACAATAAAGATTAGCAGTAAGTGGTTGAGGAACACCAATATCTTTTAGTAGCCAATGTAAGTGAAGAAAGTCTGATGTGGTGTCCCCAAGTGCTTGATATGTGGCCTTTGTGCTTGAACGTGATGGAACTGTCTACTTTTTGCTACGCTAAGAGATTAAGGAATCACCAAGAAAAAGACAATATCCAGTGGTAGATTACGATCATTAAAGTCTCACCAACTCAATCAGCGTATGTGTAAGCACAAAGTTCAAGAGATGAGTGAGTAAAAAAGTGAAGTCCATGAAACAATGTTCCCTTAACATAGTGAATAATGCAAAGTATCGCTGCATAATGAGTGGAGCGAGGAGTAGCCATAAATTAACTAACAATGTGAACTGCATATGCTATGTTAAGGCGTGTCGTGGTAAGATAAACTAGACTATCAACCAATTGTCGATAGCGAGTAGGATCAGAAAGTGGAGAGCCATTCATAGGTGTAAGCTTGACATTAGGTTCAAGAGGTGTTGAAACACTCTTGCTATCATTGAGTTCAGCTTTAGAAACAAGATCAGAGGCATACTTTACTTGAGAAAGCAAGTAGCCATCAGATGAAGAGGTGACTTCAAGCCCTAAAAAATGGCTCAAAACACCAAGATCTTTCATCTCAAATTTCTGACTGAGAGATTATTTTAACTCCTCAACACCAGCGATATCATATCCAATAATAATCATGTTATTAACATAAAAAAGTAGAAGAACCATACCCTGAGCAATCTTACGGATGAATAGAGCTCTATCATGTGGACTCGAAGTAAAACCAAACTGACTCACAGTAGCACTAAACTTTGCATACCAAGCTCGAAGGGATTGTTTCAACCCGTATAATGCACGTCGCAATCGGCATACCTTGTTTGGAGGATGGTTGAGCCCAGGAGGTGGTTTCATATAAACTTTGCTTCTAGGTTACTATTAAGAAAAGCATTTTTCACATCCATCTGAAACAATTTCCATCTTTGTATAGCAGCAATAGCAAGCAAACTGCACATAGATTTGAGACGAGCAACTAGAGCAAATGTTTCCTCATAGTCTATTCCATACTCTTATGTAAAATCCTTGGCAACCAAGCGTGCCTTATAACTCTCCACAAAACCATTAGATCGTGTTTTGATTTTGTACACTCATTTATAGCCTATTAGAGACTTTTTAGTAGAGAGATCAATTAAATCCAATGTACGAGTGTTCTCAAGAACCTGTAATTCATCTTGCATAGCTTGTTGCCAAAGAGGGTTAGTAGAGGCCTCTCGATATGATTGAGGCTCATGTAAAGAGGTAATAGCAAAAAAACAATGATAATCCAGAAGGTAGTTGGAAAGGTTTCTTACTTGAGTAGGACGACTTGAGGATGGGACAACAAACTCATTTGTAAACTCAACAATATCAGATGCAACATCAACAGGTGATATAGATGAGGAGGTAGAGGAAAGTTCAAAATTATTTAATGCATTACCAACAGGCATATCATCTTCTGTAGAACTAGTTGGAGCATGTGGTGAGGCATTGTAGAACTCATCAAATGTAACTACATCAGAATCACTAGGGATTAGCTCAACAGAAGGATTAGTAAAAAATGGAGGTTGATCAAAAGATGACACCTGGAAGTTTGATGATGACACGAGGAAGTTTGATAACGAGAAAAACATAGTGTGTTCCTAAAAGACAACATGACGTGAGACTCGAAATTTTTGTGACACAGGATCCAATGACGATATCCTTTATGTGTAATCCCATAACCCAAAAAACAACATAATTGAGCTTTAGGCTTTAGCTTGTTATGTTCATGAGGTGGAAGAAGAAAAAACAAGCACAACCAATAACATTAAGAAGATCATAAGTAGGAGGAATACCATGAAAACATTCGTATGGAGACTTATTATTGATCACTGAGGATGGAATCCGATTAATGAGATAAACAGCTGTAAAAGCAGCTTCACCCCAAAATCGTTTTAGACAAGAAGATGAAATGAGCAAAGCGCAAACAAAATCAAGGATATGTTTGTGTTTGTGTTGAGCTCGTCCATTCTGTTCAGAAGTGTAAGGACAAGATTGTTGTGTCAGTGTACCCTGTTCTTTAAGAAAAGATTGAAGTTTAGTACTAAGATATTTAGTGGCATTATCACTTCTCAAAACTTTGATAATTTTAAAGAACTTAGTTTTGACCATGGTAGCAAAATCAATATAAATTTGTGGTAACTCAGAGCGATTTTTCATAAGATATATCCAGGTAAAATAAGTATGATCATCAACAAATAACATAAAGTACCTAGAACCTCCCATGGTAGGTGTTGGAGATGGACCCCAAACATCAGAATGCACAAGATCAAAAGAAAGAAAAGAAAGAGAATGACTACTAGAAAAAGATAAAGCTAGTTGTTTTGCATATTGACATGACACACAATGCAAAGATTCATTTAGAACAGATCTTAATAAATCACGAGAGATAAGTAGATGAAGTTTACCGACTGAGGTATATCTGAGAAGTGAGTGCCATAAATGAAAAGGAGAAATGTTAGTAACAGTGCAGGCTTAGAAGATTTGTTGGTATAGAATTTGCAAAGACTCTAATTCAATAGCACAAAGCAGGATTTGGATGAATCGATCATTTGGAAATGATGGTGTATCCATTTTATGATCAAGAATATGTAGATAGTTGAGCTCAAACAAACACCTCACGTTGCGACCAGTTCTGAGAAGTTGTCCTATCCGTGGGTCCTACACACAACAACTATAAGCAGAAAATGTTACTTCAAGACCAAGATCACATAATTGACCAATAGATAGAAGATTATAACTAAGTTTTGGAACTAAGAGGGCATTTGGTAAAGTCAATGACTTTATAGAAATATTGCCAATGTGACTAACATTTATAGGGGAACCATCAGCAGAATAAATAGCAGGAAAAGAATTATTGGGTGACATTGAAGAGAAATGAGATTTAATTGAAGACATGTGGTTACAACAACTAGAATCAAAATACCAAGGTTTGGTACTTGGAGTAGTATATAAGGCAGTAGAAGCATTAAAAAGATTTAATATCACATGTTTTAAGGATTCAAGGTTGACATTAGGTTGGTCTATCACTTCTTTGGCAACTATAGCAGTAGCAGAATGAGTTACGATCCTTTCAAAATTCGCCATAGAATCAGTAAAACTCACAATACTGAAAAACTCTAAAAATATGAAGAAATAGATACTAAGATCGAAATAACAAACTAACAAAATACCTCAGAAAGGGCTTGAGAATCCAATATAAACAACCCAATCTGTAAGAGAAGAGATCCCAATGGTAAAGTTTCAGATCTGGAATGGATTTAAAAATTCAACTCCAAAAACCAAATAGCGATAATAAGAAAAAAAAAAAACTACGAGCTTATAGATTTGATACCAAGTTAAAAACAGAAAAGAAGAAGAAGAATCTGAAGAAAGGTTTATCACTTTCTTTTTAATAATATTGTATGTACAATAACTTATATATAAGTGTTTATAAAGAGAATATTGTAAAGTATAAAGTATACAAAAAAAAAATATTCTAAGATATAAAACATTTACAATAAGTATGTTCACGTCTTAACACGTACTACCTAAGTAATGTAGTAAAATACTACTACATTAATTAAGGTTACGCACTCTGTATTAAGGAGAGAGTAGACTAACATGGAATCCAATTCTCTGCCTCTCCGATATCTCTCTTTTTATTTTGCATCTGCACCCATGCCCGAAGCATGATTGAATTACTTACCAGTCCTAAAGTCTGTGAATCAACAAACAGTCCATAAGTTACCCCAAAAAGCGAAAACTAACAGTCTCCATGCACCGTATAATGTGTCTTTATATATCAATCTGTATCTTGATTATCAGCATGCTCCCTGCATTGCCTCATAGATCCAATATCCAAGTTTCTCTTCCTAATCCTAGCATATTATAACTTAGGAACAAATTACATTAATTCTCAAAGTTTTTTGACACATGGCTCAAACCCACAATATCCTCCTGATAGTATTTCCGCTGCAGGGCCATATTAACCCTACCCTCCAACTTGCCAAGCGACTGGCTAATCTTGGCGTTCGTGTCACCTACATGACGACGGTCTCCGCCATTAACCGCATGAGCGAAGGATCGGCTATTGAGGGCATATCATTTACAGGCTTCTCCGATGGTAACGTCAAGGACAACATTGACGAACTTACTTATGAGCTGGAGCGTTGCGGTTCTCAAGCCTTGAGAGATTTCGTTGCTGGCAGGATCAAAGAAGGAACGGGCTTCACTCATATTATCTACTCTCTTCTTTTTCCTTGGGTAGCGACGGTGGCGCATGAGTTTCAAATCCCGATAACATTTCTTTGGGTTCAAGCTGCCAGCATCTTGAACATCTATTACCAACGTTACATGACAGATTATGGTGATTTCATTGCCAAAAACATTGATGATCCTTCATTTTCTTTCGAACTACCGGGATTACCACCTCTCAAAAGTGATGATTTACCCTCCTTTCTCCTCCCCTCAAATCGATATCAATCAGCCATTCCTATAACAAGAAGGCACGTACAGATCCTCAACGAAGAAACCAAACCTAAAGTTTTAGTTAACACCTTTGATGCCTTGGAAGCAGAGGCTCTCAAAGCAATCCAAAATTACAACATGGTTGGAATCGGTCCTTTGATACC